GGCTTTGGGATGGGGGGTGGTTTGTGGTGAGCAGAAGTGCGAGGAGAGTTACCGAAAAGCGGCACCTCGCCGCGGGGTTTGGCACCGGCAAAGCTCCGGTTAACTGCAGTGAAAGGATTTGGGGTTATTAAAAAAAATATAGCTCTTAGCACAGACCGTTATCGTAGGAATGTTATTGGTCCTTCCCTTACCGGAGCAACTTTCCTCCTTCGACCTGCTTGACAAATGTTAATTCCCTTTCTGACAGGTAAGTGCAGTATGAACCCATTTGACAGATGGGTTGGTGGGAACAAAGAGCAGTGAAGTGACTTCTCCAGGACCACACATCCCAGCGAGCAGGACATGTGTTTATTGTGTCAGGCAGATGGTCATGCTGAATTATGAAAGAAGTTACATGCATCTGTCCAGGGATACATGAGACCTTCAGCCACAGTCCCAGCTGTGGCAGTGGAGCATCTCTGGGTGTCATTCTCCTTGTCCAGGGTGGGACTCGCCCTGCACACCCATCATCCCAGAACCTATGAGCACAGCTGTCATACGTGAGCACTCGTTCCCTTCTAGGGATGCCTGTGTCTAGAAAAGACCATGCCTGCTGGACTCTTAAGCAGGGATATGTATGAATCCAATGCAGGACTAGGCTAAAGCTGTGATTGGATGCTAGTGATATCAGAAATTGCAAAGAAAGCTCATTATTTTTCTTAGATATGTATCGTTTCTTTATATGCTGCTCAGTAATAGAGCAAACTCTTTCAAAACAAAATCTAGTCAATGTTAAAAAAAAAAGAACTTAAGCAGTTTCAGACTTTATTCCCTTGCTTCTAACACTGGCCAATTTTTGTGGGTTTGCAGCCACGTCTTCCCTTTTTTTTTTGGCGAATATTTTCATTCCGAGGTTGCTGTGGGCAGGACTCCCTGCCCAAAGCAGTCAGTATTGAAACAGAGCACAAGGGCCAACTGCTGTCAAATGCAGAACATGAACAGTGGAAAAGCAGAGGCAGTGTTTTCTTCTTTTTTTTTGGTATAATTACTTGAGGCACTTTTTGTAGTAATAATGCTTTTAAGACAGGCAGATAGGTGTCATTCTTACTTCTTTTCCTGTTGCTAGTGTCTCTACAATATGATTAATAACCACCAATGAGCTGATTCACCAGCATTGTGTTTTCTGCTCCTAGCATATTGTGGGGCTTCTTTTCTGCTCCCAGCTTGGTGATCTTGTTTTTTGCAGTCATTTTCTTTTTTTTTTTTTTTTTTTTTTTTTTTTTTTATGTTCCAGAAGATAAGTATTTCTTCTACTGCAATTACAGGCTAAAGTTTATTTTAAGGAGACTTGATACAAGCCAGGGGACTGATTCTCATTTGCACTTGAGTCTTGTTGCATGGTTCCAGTAACACAATGAAGTGTGAAAGTGAGTAAATATAAACAGAATTCACAGTGGCGCACTTTACAGCATTTTTGTGCCCTGTTACTCTTCGAAAGGAGCCTCACATTTAATAAGCGTCTAGTGCCTAGTATTCTTGTTCTTTTTCTTTATGTCTTCATTTCATAATAATGCAACTTAAAAAGCTATGTAGGAGGTGCCAGAAAAGTCCACCATAACCCACTTGTAAGGAGGAAATGAGGAGATGCTGAACTAAATAATTCAACCATGACCTTAGGTCAGCTGAGGTGGAAATTAGTGGCTGTGTGCTTTTACAGTGACACAAAGCAACCGTGAGCAAAACTGGGCAAGCTTGGAAAACGCATACTCAGGTGATGAGGTTAATATTTTTTTGATTGTGCAGCCACAGCCAAGCACTGGTTTGCCAGCAGCCTGCTTCTCCCGCTGCAAAGGTGTTCTCAGGCATCAGGGTTTTTCCAGGAAAAGCCTCTCTGTATGTGCAGCCTTGCTTACTGCTCTGACTTTCTAAGCAAGAGCTGAATCCTCAAATTACATTTGTTTTTATTTGGAGAGGCCAAAATTCCTTTTGCAAGTTCCTCTGGAGATGCGTGAGTCAGTGGTGAGACTCAGTTCCTGCGCTGTCTTGGCGCAGAGCTGAACTTCCACAGAGAACTATAGATGCGGCTGAACGTGTAGGTGTTATAACCCTGGTCTTTATTACGGTTAAGGATTTTTCTTGGAGGGGAAGATGAAATCAAGCCATTTCTGAATGAGATGCATGCACTAATGGCACGTGAGACCTTTCATAGTGTGTTTGTTGCTGCAGCCAAAGTTTTAAATCTTCTGCAGACGTGGAAATTGTTGGAAGCCTTACTTGCTTATTGCCTTACAATGCTATGCAAAAAAGTCTCTTCAAAGGCTCAGTGATCAAGTTACTCACTTAAGTTTTCCCCTTGTGCTAGATCATCTTATTCTGTGCTACTGCTGACAAATTCACACTGAGTCTAAAATGTGGTGCAGCTTGAAAAGAGACTGTAAAAACATGATAGGAAAACACGGAGTTAACTTTCCTTGGGGAATGAACTAGCTATTATTTATAAAAGGGCAGGACCTGATTTTCATTTATGTGACAGCTCCTGTGTATAGCTCTGGTAGTCAAAAGAAGCCACAATTTAAACAAGAATTAGGATGTTAGCAGTCATAATATTTTTGTACATATAAACAATTACAACAGGTTTAGCATGAGCCATGAATTGCCAAGCTGCAACATCCAGCTCTTAAGTTTGACACAAAGATTAGGAGTATCTAAAAGGTTCTTTACTAACCCCAAGTATAAAGAAATCGTGGGCCAGACCTCCAGAATCTCAAGGTTGTTTTTAAAATGTTGTGATTTGAACATGTTCGTTTGGTATTTGAGAGAGAGTTCATTTGAGTTCACTTGATGTACCTTCTGCCTTTTTAGGCCGTAGAAATCACAAAGTGCAGACTTTTTTTTTTTTTTTTTTTTTTTTGTAAACAAGCTGAAATTTGGTTGTATATTTATAGGGTTGCAAGGCCCACGACTCTAAGATGGCATGAAGTGTCATGAGACTTGTGGTATGTGCCTTTGAGAGTTGGCAAGACTGTAAAGAACTTATTTTTAATGCCAGAGTGGTTAAGAGATTACTCTGGTTATATGGAAAGAGCAAATTCTATTCAGTAAGGCAGGGTTCTTTTAATGACAAAACATTTCACTATGTTTCTGCTTGTAAAATGCAAGAAGCAGCAAAGACAATGTAGGTCAAGTGAGGTTCATAGAAAAGCAGTTACAATTTTCATCTTAAAGGTGCAGCTTAGGTGATGTTATGTAGTGTTTTCTTTCAATAAGTGTAAAACTGCATCCTTGGCAGGTATTCACCACAGGAACAGGAAGGACACACAAGCCTTATGTTAGGGACTGAAACATCTGTCATTCTGACTCTTTTTCTTTCCCTGAATGTTAGTTAAGCTTCAGAGAGACCCTCTTCTTTCCTTGTTTAAGCATAACCTACTGTTTATAGCACAATAAAAAGCTGCATGGCACTTTGGGGAAAAGAGCTGCTCTGCAAACATAGAGGTATAAGAGTCCAAAACCAATTCTGCAGTATTACACTTCTCTGCGTAGCAGACTGCCTAAGACAGTCCCACGCACAAAGTCTTCAAAAAGAAGGTCTTTAAAAGTATGCATTAACTTGTGCTGCCTGCTGCCCTCATGTGCAAGAAGCATTGTCACCTGAATGCTTCCACCATCGCTCACTAGCTCTATTTCAAACAAACTTGTAGCAGGAGAATAAGCATCAATTTTGGGAGAGGCTTCACAGAGCCAGGCTAGGCAACCAGCATCTCCAAAGCAAGAGCAAAGTGAGAAGAATATCCCAAATGAGTTTAAATATACCTGCCTGGGAAGAGAAGATTCATGTCTAGGAGGAGTAAACCTCAAAAATGGGGAGGGTGGCATGAAGTGTTAGGATGATGCGAGTGCCCAAATGTCTTTTCTTGGCTATGTCTCTAACTTGTGGTTATATTCTGCATCTTTTCTCTTGCATTGCCAAGAGAATTGCACATCAAGTTCCACCTCCAGGGTCGCATCACACTTTCCCTAATGCCAGGAAGATGAGATGCTTTAGCTCTTCCTGAGGGCTTCATTGCCACAGATGGTGCAGAAGAATAGGAAATCCAGCCTGACTTCCAGGTCCGAGCAGGGCTGATGTCCAAGGAAAACACCTTTACTCATAAGATGCGCTTGTGCAAGGTGTGCGTACCCTTAGCTGCTGGTGTAGTCATAAGGCATTTTCTTTTCTGTATCGATTTCCCTGCTCTCTGATGCATCATCTTAATAAAATCAAGGTTCCTCCTCAGAAGTGTGGCTTCTCACATGGCCCACAGTGCCTGTCCCCAGGGTGGGTCCAAACTGCAGGAGGCCCAGTGTGCTTTGGCAGATGTTTACAACATGTCATCTTATAAAATCATGTGGAAAGGCCTACATGAATTCCTGGTAATGCCTGTTCTTATTTTGCTGTTGGCTTTCAGCATGTGTGGAGCGAAAGTGAAGACTGCTTACCTTTTCTGCAGCTTGCACAGGATTACATCTCCTCCTGTGGGAAAAAGACACTCCATGAAATATTGGAAAAAGTCTTCAAATCCTTCAGACCCGTAAGTGCCTTTTTTTTATTTCTAAACATTGCCAGTTACCTGTGACTTTTAATAGGCTAGTACTGGATGGAACAAGGGTTTTTTTCTTTTTCAGGGACTTAATGTGCAGTCAGCTGCCTGGGCGCAGGGGTGTTAGCACGTAAACTACTATCAGGCAATTGGAAATTGTTTCTTGGAAGCCAACTGCCTTTTTATTTCCGTCTCTGCATTTGAGAGGATGAGATTCCCGTGCGGGGTGGGAGGCCAACTCTTGCGGCAGCCAGTGGCAGTGGCTCCCCAGCTGCGCAGGGGCTCACGTCCTGCTGATGCAGCGCTGACTCTGAGGAACAGGATGCGAGTCAGCGCTGCGGGACTTTGCTGCAGAGTTGTTTCCTGGTGCTGGAATTGGAGAGTTGTGCAAGGATCTGAGTAGCAAGAGTAAACCTCAGGGAACCTGGAAGTCTCTCCTCAGAGTGGTTTGTTTTATCTTTGGGTTGGCTTTTTTTCCCCTCGACTGGTCCAGATTTTGCTGTTAGGATGGTTACCACATGGTATTTACAAACACCAGTTTGGTCACTACTTGAGAAGTAGTTGGAGCAGAAGCTGGGTTTGGGGTGGGCTTGTATTTTTCTGTTTTGCTGCTACTCAGCTTTCTCTGTCCTTGTTTAACACTAAGATTTGAGTCAAAGCCTGGGTTTTGTCAGGGTGAGGTGTCTTTAGGCTGGCTGTTATCCTTCATTTTTGCCAAAACCTCCCTTTGCACAGCCTCTCCTTTTGAGTGTGTGGGGCTGGTGCAAAGCAGAGCGGAGGTGGGTTGCCAGAGCCATGCTCTCGTGATGTCCACGGGAAAGCCAACCGACGGACGTTTCTATACTCTTCTGAAAATTTAGACCTTTTTCCCTCCTCTTTTTTTCTGGCTGACTAATCAAGAAGACTGAAAATGTATCCCAAGTATTTAGAGCGAAAGGGAGGGCCTGAAGCGCCAATATGAAAACACCGACCCTCCCTGTGCTATACCCTTGCATTGCCTTGCCATGGACCGCCACAGCTGGTCGGCATAAAAGAGCATCGTTTCAAAAAATCCTTTGAGAGACTGGAAATAAACAGAACAGATGCACACGTTTCTTAGAAAGGACTGGAAATCTGATCTGCCAGTACAGCTGCTTGTAATTTTGAAAACATACAAAAATATAAATGTGTTTCCCAGAACAATATTCGGCTCTTGGATCTTCATAGCTGTTTCCTCCTGCTCAGAAAAGCTGTGTCTTTGAGGAGAAACTTCCCATTGCTTTAACTAAAGAGGACTTCAAAAAGACTTAATTAAATTGGTACAGATCGCTTATTTCATTTAAACCATATTTATTTCAGCATAGCTTAAGTTACTGAGAAAATGGCTTCAGTCAAACCAAGTTAAGCTACTCTTCAGAATAAAAAGGTTCAAAGCAAGGGAAACCATTATGCTCACTTCATCTAGGCCCTTTGTTAATACATCATATTTCACCCCACAATTCCCACAACTGAGCACACACATTGTGGTTGGGCTGGAGCCTGGCTTTTCCAAAGACACCCAGTCTTGATGTAAAGTCTTCAGGTGACTTAAAGGATACAACACTGCTGGGCACTTTTTCTTCTCATCATTAGTTATACTCCTGTGAAGAAGTCTTTTATTTGCCTTCTGCATTTATCTAGTTCTGCTTCCTAGTTGTTGAATTTCATTATGCTTTTGTCTGCTCAAAAACAGCATCCTGAATTGTCAGAGACCTCTTGCAATCTTGATTACAGTCAATCTTACAGTGAAGTACCTCTTCATTTTCTCTTGGAAGTACCACAAGGATTAAGTTTCTCAGATTCTCCTTTGACCTGGTATTGAGAGGTTTGCGTCAGTGTAACAAAACCGGGTTTATCGTTTGAGGTACGGTTGGTTGTGTGTACACAAGTCTAATAAGGAATGTATTGACATTTTTCACTTATTGTAATTATTAAAAATAGGACATGCATGGTAGCACAGATTTTTAAAAGTGAAGGGTATTACAATAGATGTATGGAACCAGTTACATTACACCCTCAGGCCTTTGGCAGCACAAAACCACTTTTCATCAGTACAGGGAAATTATTTCCTTGGCATGACTTTGCGCTGTCCCCCATCCTTTTCCTGCTGGACCTGTTTTGCTAATGAAACCACCTTGCTGACAGCTTAGAGGTAACAGTGCATTTGCAGGGCATTTCTCCATTATCGCAACTAAGTCTGCTGTCAGACACCAGTCTGGCAAATTTCAGTACAAAAAATGGCAGTTTAGGAAAAATGGCTGCTGAAGGTCAGACCGGGCTGTTCTGAAGTGTCTGATAGTCCTGGCTACTCAGTCTGAGGCACTGAGGAAGGCCCAAGATTTTAGCATGTGCTTGGTAAGCACTTTATGAAAGTCTTTTCCATTTTGGTATTTCCAACTGGACATCCAAGATTACTAAATGGTTTTGAAAGTCTTTGTTGGGGTCCTTCCAAGGGCAGTGTTTAGGAGGAGACACCAGCAATGCTTATGCAGCTCTCCTTGACCTCGTGCATGGCTTGAGCACCTGCCCTCCCTTAACCAAGGGCTCCCAGACTGATTTTTGCCCAGTAACTCAGCTCAGCCCTGCTCTGCACATTCCTAATAACAGCCCAGCCAGGTCTCCACAGGCTCGCCCTGGGGCTGCAGCCTGGGAAGGGACTGGCTGCTCATGCCACTGGGCCCTGAGTTTTGGAGGCTGCGAGAGTGAGGATGCCCAGTGGTTGGCATCCCTCTCAGTGAGAGACAGAGATTTCCCTCTGCTCACCGCTCTCCCCTGGGCGCAGGAGGCAATGAGGGTGGTCTAGGGGCTGCTCATCAGCCCTCGCTGCTCTCAGGCATCTCTCCCTTCTGTTTTATCATAAGCACAGTCAGCAAATTCTCCCTCCATTTCCCTGCTGAAGAAACCTTGCAGCTAAAAAACTGGTTTTCTCCCAGTGACAGCTCTTTCAAGAGCTAACAGCTTCGTCACTCTCCAAACAGGGTACTGCATGCACCTGTGCTGCTCTTCCAGCCCTGGCAAGCTAAATACATGGTATTCCCAATAATGCCTGGCATATGATTTTGCTTTGTGGCTATTAATAGCTGCTAGCGTAGGATTCTAATATGAGATTTCCACAACAGATGCATTATTTTTACTATTATTTGGTTTATCTGTCTTCCTGACTTCTGTTGGCTTGGCAACCTTTTGGAGGAGGGGGAAAAAGTTCAAACATCACTGTTTGCTCCTTTTCCTGTACTGAGCAAGTGCCATTGCAGTGATTGGAGCCATCAGGTGGAGACATCCAAACATTGTCCAAGGAAGGTGGGCTGACAGTTCTTCACAAGCCCAAATCTAATTTGCAGAAATTTAAAGGGATTTGGACAATTTTGACTTGAATACATGGTATTTCTCACTTCCAGGGCTTCACTCAGCATGCAGGGCTTCATCTGGTGTGATGGAGTGAAGGGTTCTAGAGAAGCACTTAACATGGTGGCATCTTTAGGTTTTTCAGGGGTCCTTGCCTACTCGATACTAGCCAGTTCTGCTTGAGAATTCTTTCTTCTTTGGCTGTCGTAGGTTGCCCAACACAATCTTAAACAGGATCACTACTGCTACAGTGTTATCATGGTTCTTTCTGAAGTTAAACCACTGCCAAGTCTATAAACACTCAACAATTTGTGATACAGCCTCAGGGAAGAATGTGAAGCTTTTTGCAAGTGCTTTGCTTTAGTTTTATTTATCTTCCGGTTTCTGAGCATTTAATTTGGTGTGAAGATGCATTTTCAAATATTGCTCTATGACAGAAGGGAGAGAAAGAGAGTCGAGATCACTATGCAATACTATTATTATGGGGTTGAGATTTTCAAGAAGTGGCACTTAGGTATTGTGTAATTTGCAGTGAAGATGCACGAGCGTGTAATTCACTATTACACAGTATTTTCTCTTCTTTGTAGTTACTTGGGCTTCCAGATGTTGATGATGATGCATTTGAAGAATATAATGCAGATGTGGAAGAAGAGGAACCAGAAGCCGATCACCAACAGATGGGTGTCAGTCAGCAGTGATTTTCTGAGAAGCTAAAAAGATTCGGAAGCCTTTGGTACCAGGTGGGGTCAGGTGGTCCCATGTTTGCCTGTTCAAATTAGCACATCACATGGGGATATCTGGCTCCCAGGATAAAAGTTTTACAAAAACGGTTTTAAAAAAAAAAAAAAAAAAAAAATCTGTGATGAGCTTTGCTAAGAAGCGACCTGAATTTTGCTCCTGCTTCAGTGGGTTTTCTATGGAGTTGTCTTGGTAGCGTTCTGCCCTTGTCAGTCTAGACTTAGTTTTGTCACTGACTTGTCTCTTCGATTTGTGTTCAAGAGCAGTGTTCACTGACATGAATGTAGAGTACCGAGAATGTAGGAAGCGTGTGGTGAGAGTGCTGAGTCCTCACCAGTGACCTTTCCGAGGGAACCAGCGCAGACAGCAAATGCAACCTGCGCTTTTCTTTTTAGTTCAACAGCTATGGTTTTTAACGAAGTACCAAACTTGGAGAGATTTCTCCTGGAAAACACTAGTTTAATAGTGGTTGGTACTGCAGAAGTGCACATGAAGGCTTAACAAAAATAATGGGAAGTGGGAAATCCAGGGGAATATTGGTGTCAGACATATTGATGTCATTTTACTGACACCTGAGTTTACAAGTGCTGGATTAATAACTGGGAGTAATTAGTATCAGCAGTACACATTATAACCAGCCCTGGTACTCCAACACCATTTGATCCAAAGCCAAATGCTGCTTTCATACAAATCAATTGAAAAATAGCCATCGCCTATCCCACTTCTGCACGACAACCAACTTTAAGCTTCGCTGTTTTTAAAACACTGCTAAGTTGTTACTCAAACCTCATGGCATTGTGAATTAAAAGTGCAACTTAACTTTGAAGCCATAAGGGTATAAACCAGCACCTGGCTCTTAAAATTATTCTGGACCTGTTCTTCTCCTTAGGCTTTGAGCTAGTTCAGGCATTTACACCTCGTCCAAGGGGAGCTAAAATACTACTACTTTCGCTATAAAGATACAAAGATTTTGGATATAAAAACTAGTGAGGTTTTACTTATCTCTCCAGAGGGGTTTGGTGTGGTCTTGGTGTAAAGGAGAAGACCCCTCGTATTTTATGCCTATATTGCATAGATTTAAGTGACTTGGATGAGTGCCAGACTGTGAAGATACAGGGTCTCTATTTACTTGCCTTTTGTACTGAAAATATAAGAGTCAAAGAGAATGCCATTGTAATACAACTGTTTTCCACAATCAAGCAAAATGTTTTCCTTTTTTTTTTTTTAAATCATGAAATGAAGGTCACACGCTTCAAAACCCCTTTTATACGGAATTAACTTTACAAAAACAAAAAGTGAGTGAAGAGAAAACGCTTGGATAACTCCCAGAATCAAATCGCACCATTTTGAAAACCCTGTTGTTAGCGACGTCTCCTTTTCAATAGATTTTTTAAAGATTTTTTTTTTTTTCCAAGGTTACTTAAGACAGCAAGTTTTCTTGGTGGTTTACATTTCTGATGATGGCTTGTGGCTTGAGAGATGCATAGAACTTGATTATTCCAATCTGGGGCAAAGACCTTCCATAACTGGGGCGGTATGTGATACCTGGGTATGCACAGAAGTGTCTGCAACACTGTAAAAGTCGGAGTTTAAGAATACAAAAAAAAAAAAAAAAAAAAAAGGTGAAAGAGAAACAGAGCTTAATCAACTTTGTACATTCTTTTGGCATGCAGGCATAAACATGATAGTCGCAGCACATTTTTATGGACTAGTGACGTGAGAACCGTGGCAGTTCATTGTATAACACTGTACAGCAGCAATAGGCTTTTTGCTTACTAAAATAAAGTGTAAGACCAGTGGTTTCCATCCCTGCTTTAAGTCCCTAAGTTTTTCTTTCCTCTCCAGCTAAAACAGATGCCGTAACCTTAAACTGAGCCTTGCTTCGGGGGAACCTTTCTCTTTGTGGCATCCAAACCTTTGACTGCAGCTCGCACAGCTAGATCTTTTGGGGCTGACTTTCCTCTGCTGTAATGTAATGCAAGACAAAATTTGCAGTAGCACAAGCTGGAGGCAAAGTCCTGCAGTTCAGGTTTGCTAGCCACTTGCACCCATTTTGCTCATGTGCAGGTGACTGGCACCTAGGTGTGTGTGCACACATCCACACACATATGCAGGAGCCCCAGGCACAGCTACACCATGAGCTGGGCTGGGGGGTCAGTCTGGCTGGGAAATAACCCTCTGCCTTTTTACAGACAGGCAGTTTTCAAGCCAGATCAGTCCCACCATCTGGTTCATCACAGACAAGTGCCAGCACAACAGAGGGGAGGGTGTAGGGATGGACATGGGTGGCAACTGAGAACCCCCCGCCAAAGGTGCCTTGTACCCCTTGCATGATGTTAGGGGCCCATGGCAGAGGTGTGGATGCAATCTGAACTGGCCTAAGTGCTGTGAAGGATTGACTCCAGGAGGCTCAATGGAGAATCAGGCTCTGGATGGCAGCGGGATACACAGGAATTAATGAAATGAGGAAAGACTGTAAAATCCAGTGCTTGTAATTGCACACAGGAGGTTGTAATATGTACTGCATTCTGCTGCCTTTCCCTGGATATGATTGAATTGTTAATGAACAGTTGAGTGTTAATGTGGTTACAAGCAAACAGAAAGCTGTAAATTATGTAGATAATATTTTCTGTATTCATTAACTCACTCTTTTTTTTTGGAATGCCATATGCCCTTTGGGTGACCTCCATACCAGACTACAAGTGCTGGACAGCCAGGGGGCCTTTCTGCCGCTCCCACCCCTGCAAAATTCCCACTGAAGCCAGTGAGATTTGGTTCAAATGTGACCTGCAGGACTGGATGTGCCAGGGGATGTGTGAGGCTTGGTCTTGCAGAGAGCTCAGTGCTCTTGTGCTCTTTCACTTTGCTGGGAGCCAAATGTGTTGAGCCCCACTGCTAAACTGAAGCATGAGCAGGCAGCACTGAGAATAAACTGGAATTTTATACATAGAAAACTTAATTTACATGTGTATGAAATGTGAATGAGCATTAATATAGAATGTATTTTATAAAAAAATACTGATTGCTTACTTTGACCAAATACATTTCTGTATTACTGTGTAACTTGTTCCATACTTACCAAACAATGCAAGAGATGCGGAACTGGTTTAGTTGTATTACAAAGTATTTTTATATTTTATTTGTATTTTATTTTTGCCTCATTCCCACCATGTACTGAGGTTAGTAGTCATTCGGTGATTAACCAGGGGTAGCATGACCCAATGGCTAGGCTGCCAGACTGAGACACAAGATTTGTGAGCCCAGGTGTAAATGCTTGCAAGCCTGGGGACTCGGTGAGAAAGTGTGGGTTCGGAGCTCTGCCATTGCTTTGCCCTGAGCTTCAGGTGGATCTCAGCGGCTGGGAATTCAGGGCAGGCCTCCAGTTACACATCCAGGCCTCCATGAAATTCAGTGGGAGCAGGGGAACTGCTTTGAAAGTCCCACCTTAAGCCTTTTATAAAAAGGGCCATTAGTATTATTTACCCACCAGGATATAAAGTGCTTTTAAGTCTGTGGGTGAAAAGTAGTATGCGTTGTCATTGCCTATTCTTAAAGCAAACCATTAGTGCAAGGACATGAAGAGTCTCCCTTCTCTTCCCTTCTATCATAGGTATTTCATGCTCTAGCTAAATATAAATATGCCAGAGCAGAGTCTCTTGCAGAACTGGCACTTCTGAATATGAGTTGCATGAATACAGTGAGCAGAGTACTACTTGGGGGATGAGAACTGTGTGGGATGCCAGAGGGAAGAACAGATTTCAGAAAATTAACAACTGGTTTGCATTTCAGAAATGTAACAACTGGTAAGACAGGTTGCTCTCTGAACACACGGACCCCTGCACCGGAGGACAGGAATGGGGAGCAGAATGATGTCCCGATTATCCAAGGGGAAATGGTTAGTGACCTATTGTACCACTTAGACATCTACAAGTCTCTGGGGCTGGAAGGTATCCACCCCAACGGGGGGGAGCGGGAAGAAGTCCCCACAAAGCCACTCTCCATTATTTATCAGCAGTCCTGGCTAACCAGGGAGGTTCCGGATGATTGGAAGCTGGACAATGTGATGCCCATCTACAAGAAGGGCTGGAAGGAAGATCCACGCAACTATAGGCCTGTCAGTCTGACCTCGGTGCCAGGGAAGGTGATGGAGCAGATTATCCTGAGTGCCATCACACGTCACGTGCAGAACAACCAGGGGATCAGACCCAGTCAACAGGTTTATGAAGGCAGGTCTTGCCTGACCA